AAGCAAAGAAAATAGGGAAGTATTATCATTAATTGTGAGTTACGATGTATGAATTCTATATTATAGTTATTAATGATTGTAAACTTCATCTTTAAAATGTACCTAATCGCTATCGCTATCACTACTGCTGTCACCATGATGCTTGTGGCCGTGTTCGTGCTTCTTCTTGTCTTTCTTCTTCTTTTTCTTCTCTTCCTTGGAGTGTTCACCCGCGTCACCATGAATTTTGTCCTTGATCTTCTCTCCAAATCCCTCCTTGTGCTCGCCATGGCTGTGTTCGGGTTTGTGCTCGGGCTTGTGTTCACCATACCCGTGTTCGGGTTTGTGCTCTCCCTTGTGTTCTTCACCATCGTTGTGGCCTCCCATGCCGAGTTTTTCTTCAATCTTGTGAATGATTCCTGCCATCTTTTTTTTCTTTCTAAAAACTGAATGCAACAATATGAAATGGATTCTTGATCTGATCTGAAGAGAAATGTAAATGGAGTGTGACCTATTTATAGGGAATGACTTACACAAGGTATAAAGAGAGATTTTTTCTATTTTCTTCCTCAAATTAGATTATCCACAATTTAGAATAAAAAATCAAGTGGGCCCGCGCAACTTCATGGAACGTGTATACTCCGTGTACCAAGAAAAATTTAATTTACTTTATCTCCATATAGAAAATAAATTCAAAAATCTATTTCGGTTCGAAGTAGCCGATTTTAGACTTACTAATCGAAACTCGTGCCATCGCTCGCCAATGGTTCTAGAATCCTTTTTCTTCAAATTTCGTAACTTTGTAATTCAGCTTTTGTTAATACTCATGGCCGAAGTTCATCAAGTCAAATTAAAAGAACCACGAATGAAACGAAAACTCGTCTAAAAAATCCTAGAACGTACATGAATTCATAACCAATCAATGTCATGACTGCCCAAGAAATGGTCAAATGACTGAAATCTTCATCTAGAAAAGAAAAAGATATTTATGATCCATCAAAGACTTTAAAGGAAGAAATTGTTTTCAAAAGAAGAAAAAATTTATAAAGAAGAAAAAATTTATGGCAACGACAAGGAACGTAACAAGTGTCTCAGCTTTATTCGGCGACACGGGAACTTTGCCGACAGTATAACCATTGTTCACACTTTTGGAGCCCCATTTTGTGTCACTTTTTGACAAATCATGAGCTACCATATTTAATAAAAATGAACAGTAAAATAAGAACATAAATTCATATTTTCCATTCTATCTTACCATGAACATGATAAACATAATTTTTTTCAGAAATCATTTTGCGAAAAATGGAAATTTTTTATTTTTTATTTTTATTTTTTTGAGAACAAATAGTTAAAAGTTAAAAAAAAAAAAATTATTCACAAGAAAAATTATTTTATTAAAAGAATATATGATCATAAACGAGGTAAAGATAATGAGGTTTGAAAAATTTATCAAATTTAAAGTTCATAAATAAAACCCTTTCATTTTTTATCACGCTAAATGCTATTCATTGTCATTACGATAATCATCAATCTAATGGCCATAATGAATAAAAAATGCATTTTTATGGCCCCCAAAGTACATTTCCAAATGGTAAAAAGGGGGGTGAAAAAATCCAACTTTGCTTGAGGCTGTCGCGTCAAGGGTTTGAATCCTAAAATATGGATTTGACTTTTGAATAAGTGCAAGTGT